ATAAATAAAATGAGTATTTGACAGAGAATAATCTCTGTAAAAATAATATCATACAAAAAAAGGTGTTACAACATCTGAAAGAACAAAGAAAAAGTTTCAGTAAATACACGAGGACCAAACAATCTTATTAATAGTAGACACACTATTAAACGATGTATTACTATGAAAAGGTCAATGCATGATAAACGCGCTGTCAAATGATGTTTTAGTAAATGCACTATCATGGGCACTAAATGCATCATTAAAATATATCCTTGCTAAAAGCAGTTTTGTACCCATCTAAATAATGAAACATATTCTACATAATGTTTTTGGTAAACGCACTAAAGCTGTAAACAACACTCCAAAAATAATATGTTGAAAAACACCTTCTGAAACGCGCTCTCATACTAAACGAAGATGTTATTTTCATCCAACGATGAAATCCCTATAAATCATACTAGGTATCTTGTCAAAAGTACTTAAACGAATTACAAAGTTGTTTTGAAATGGCAATGTCAAGCATTAAATGGACAAAGTTTCAAACAACAAAAGTTATGATAAAAAGGATATATATGTCAGCATGTATTTCTACTCTACTTGTGTATATGCCTATTATAAGTATCCACCTGCTCCATCTAGAACAAGTCAGGAGTGGACGTTTAAAACAAAGGAGACATTCATGAAATGTTCTCTCTATCAAAAGTCGTGCTGAGAAGATCGTACAACCAGCTTTGGATAAAGTACTACAAAAAAACATGCCTATTCTGACACGTTAACTTTAACCTATGGTTATTACCTACGGAAAGGCTACGAGGATTTGAAGCTTAAAAACAAGCATTGTCTAATAGATCTTTTCCATGAATCTTTGGAAAGAAGAATAAGAAGGATAAGCACACGAGCCACGTGAAAGACAAAAGAAAAGCTCATACTCGTGAAAGAAACATAAAAACGCTGAGAATATACTTACAAGCTTTATAAAGTCACAAGCTTACATTTGTAAGAAGAGAGAAAATCCTACAAGGTCTATTAGATTGAGTTGTATTATAAACACATCCTTTCTGTGAGATTCCTCGTCTAAGATTTGTAAACAATCTGATTGAGTGTACATTTTAAAGAGAATTCAAACACTTGGTGATTAACTCAGTTGAGTTAAACACCTATTTGACAAAGTAACGTGTCACCAGGATTGTCTAGTGGGATCCAAGAGTGGGTGAAACTCCACTAGGAAGCGTATCAAGTAGATACCAAGATTGTCTAGTGAAAATTAGAGTGAGTGAAACTCGACCAATCATCATATCAAGCAGATATCAGGATTGTCTAGTGAAAATCAAAAGTTGGTGAAACTCAGACTAGTTAACGTAACGAGTGTTACAAAGAGTGACTAGGACTACCAAAAGTGGTTTAGAATACTCAACTAGTTAACATAACAGGTGTTACCAAGCATAGAGGAAACCGATCGATCACGATCATAATTAACTAATCTTCTAGTTAATCTATAAAATCAATATTAAACAGAATTGGATTATGATTAGGCTGACCTTAATCAAAAGTTCATGGAGAAAACTATAAATACATTTCAAAGGTAAACTTATTGAGACTCTTATTATGCATTTATTACAACATTGATTGCTTAAACAATGGAATCTGAACTTACTTTAGCATCCAAGTATCTTTAGCATGTATTTCCGATCGAGTAGAAAATAGCCTACTTGAACAAAAAAAAATTTATAATATTGGGACATGTGATCAGAAAATTGTTTTAAGTGAACATTCAACTCTATATCCAAAACAATTTATTTTAATATTTAATTTTTTTGTAATTACATGTAAATTTAGTTTTATATTTTGTTATTCTTAGTTAACAATATCATATATTAATTAGCATATCTACCAATATCATACTAGAATTAATATTAAAACAATTATATGTTATAACTTCATTTCTTAAAAATGGTTACTCTGAATATTAACTTTTTATGTTTTATTAAATATTAGGCATTAAAAATGCTGACATTTTCTTGAAGATATCAAGTTGAATAAGAAAGAGATACGAAAAACTCATTTAACCTAAAATGTAGAAAAAATAATTCCCACGTCCACATAGAAAATCTGAATAGAGTAGTTACAGCGCAGCTTTAAGGTAGCAAATTCCAAATTTTATAGGTGAAATACTAATACTATAATAATAACTCCCAAACACACTGAACTGCTCCACTACCTACCTTAACATGTTTATCATGGTGTTCGCAGTTCTTCAGTTACCATCTCCCAAAATATAAAATTGTTGAAAGAAGAACAGGTTGAGAGAAATAATGCATCATTAAGATAACATTTCAATTTTCATCATCAAAATATAGAAGCTAAGAATTACTAAAGGAACTTTCACTCCTATGATGATGACAACGATAATTTTATTAATTATTACTTATCATTGTCTTAGTGTATTCTTTGTTCCTTACTTCAAACCAAAGCAAAGAGGAACAGACAAATCATGTATATAAATTTTAAGAATTATCTTTATTACAGAATCTCATTCTTAATATCTTCTTTCCTAATTAGTTAAGGAATCTCTATTTAAAAGTAGTTTTTTACAAATATGGAAATATACAACAGACAATGGGGACAAAAAAAATGCTCTCTAGAAAAAGTACTACGAATAATATACAACTTAAATGGGAGGATAATGAGATAAAACTCTCTTTTTTATTAGTAGATAACACTATGAAATTGCATTTAAGTTTAATGGTTATATATGGAAATTAAAAAAATTGAATCAATTAAAAACAATCATTGGTACAATTTTTAAAATAATCATACAAAAATCAATAAATTTTAGTGATGTAACGAGTCACCTAACCCAACCTGCCTTGGCTCACCACAGGTTGATTATTTAGTGAATTAATCCAACACACCTCATTTATTAGCAAACTAAAAAAAGGGTGTTGCTCCCTCTACCACCACAGCCTTCTTCTCACACCTCCACAATTTATTTATTTTCCACAAATGTCCTTAAATTATTTTTTTTTTACTTTTACCTTTAACTTTTTATATTTTTAATTAAAAACCCTATTTCTTTATTCTCATTTTCCAGCGGCGCAGAGCACACCCCCTCCCCTCCCTCTCTTCTCCTTCTCTTTCCTCAATTTCGTCACCCCCCCCCTCCCCTCTTCTCCTTCTCTTTCAGCAAAAAAATTGTTAAAAAGGAAAAATAATGTGGAATTTGAAACAGAGAAAAAGATAGAGATACAACATGATTTTGTTCCTTAACGAAATTCTTAAACCAGCATTTCACATTATCATCTTCATTCAACGATCATTACTTAAGAAAGACATCAGAAAAAAATAATGAACTTGAGAAGTAATAGAATGAAACTATTGGAAAACAAACATTAAAATCTACCTTGGCAAATTGAAACCTTTGGGCTACCACCTCCACTTTGTGTAATACAAATCACGTCTTCCATTCTCCGAACATTGAAAACCTTCGTCCAGAAAGCTGTAATCTTTTGAACGATACAAAGGGTAGTTCTCATCCCAAACCCATTCTCCATCAAACAAATCACACCCTCCACCCTCACCTCCAATAAACTCAACTCTGTGTTTCCCAATTTTTATCCACAACCAATAAAAACTGTGATTGTTCCAAAATGGATGTGGAAATCCTTAAAGCCAAAATGGATGTGAAAGAAATGTGTGTGTTGTGAAAGAAAGGAAATAAAGAACCCTTAAGACCAAAACGGATGTGGAAATTCGTTCGGCTTTCAACGTACATGAATATCCGTTGACGAATTTCATTTATTTTTTTAACGTTTTAATTACGGTAATTTAATTTTTACTCAAGGACAATTGTGGAATGAGACAGTATAAGAAGAAATTTGTGGTGGCGTAGGGATCAACGCTCCTAAAAAAATTCAAACCCGATCCGGCCCAGCACGGATTGGTGAGTTAAACGGGTTGATTCACTTAATTACAAGTTTTTTTTTAAATCCAAAAAAATTACAATTTTTGTAATTCAAACTTAAATAATTTCACTCTAAAATGATGATAAACTCCAAAGACAATTCAAAATAAAATAAAAATTAACATACTAATCTAAAAGCAAACTCAAAAAGCAAATAAATAAGTTTATAATATTGATAATTTTTGTGTCATTTATCCATTTATAAGATTAGAGTCTTTAACGAATAAATTTATAATATTTTTCTCTCTTTGAAACATCTTTTGCTTTATTTTCATTTATAATACAATAAAAAAAATGTTAACTAATAATATTAAAACACAAAATAATAAATAATCAAATTAAACTATGTGGGATAGTGAGCCAACCCCCGACTTACATTGGGTTCAACCCGGGTGAGCTGGGTTGAAAATTGGCTCGTATAAAAAAAATTCATTTTTTTAAAACTCAACTCGGCTCAAACTTATGGTGGACAGGGTTGGTCCACGAGTTTTAACCTATTTTGACAGTACTAATAAATCTATTAGTTATGTATGAAAAATAGTTCCATCATTAGTCTAATTGCTATGAAAAACAAAATTAAGTTATCTTAAGAATAATCCCCTATATTAGATGGGTCAAAATAGTTATGAATAAAAAAAATAGTTTAGACAATTGGAGATTAATTCAACATTAATTATCATTTTAATCTCATTAGTTATTTTAATTTTGTCTCAATATTAATACGTAGTCCTAAATTAATTTAAAATAATACAACTTTGTGCCAGGACTAAATGGAATTAGCACTATAGTCAATGTTATTATAATAAAATTACTGTCTCTAATTTCTATCATAATTTAAAATGAATTTGGACTTAGGAGAACACCTTAGATTGATTTAAAAAAGAAAGAACTAAATTAAATCACTTTCGAAAGATAAGAGGAAATAAATAAACAAATAATAGGAAAAAAAAGGCCATTAAGCCCAAAATTATTGATGATAAAAACCGGGTAACGCACAAGTGGAAGCCCAAAAATAAATTATAGACGGAGTACCGTTAACAAAAGCCGTTTGTTCATAGTCAAAAATTTAGTAGCAGTATTTTAGGAGGCCTTTGTTGTCGTGTTTTTTCAGGTTCTTTTGTTTTTCCGTTGATCGTTGGTTCCACTCAGTTTCACCATAACCCGTGGACTTTGAAAATTGAAAATTCTATAGCCACTTCCGCGACTGACTCAAACGCTGCATTTTCTTTTTTCTTTCAGGGAACCATCCACCCATAACAACAAAATAACAACAGCAAGCTGTGTTTTTTTTTATCATTCTTTTTCTTTAAACAAGCACCCCCATCATGGAATCGTGCTCATAACGCCAAAATTTTTCGTTTCCCTTTCATTTTTAGTTTCTTTTGCGGAATTGGCAGTTGGGGGCGCAATTGAATGATGGGTCTGTTGACGAATCTTCGAGGCTCGAGAACAGATGGTGCCCAACAAGATAGCTTACCCGTTTTGGCTCCGGGTGGCAACCCAAAGAAGAAATGGAGCAATCTAATGCCTCTTGTTGTTGCCCTTGTGGTCATCGCGGAGATCGCGTTTCTGGGTAGGTTGGATATGGCCAAAAACGCCGCCATGGTTGACTCCCTCGCTGACTTCTTCTACCGCTCTCGAGCGGTTGTTGAAGGTGATGATTTGGGGTTGGGTTCGGTGGCTTCTGATCGGAATTCTGAATCGGATAGTTGTGAGGAATGGTTGGAGAGGGAGGATGCTGTCACGTATTCGAGGGACTTTTCTAAAGAGCCTGTTTTTGTTTCTGGAGCTGACCAGGTTTGGTTAATTCTGTTTCTATTCTTCTCTTTTTTATTGTATGGCCCCCTCTCCCCTTTTTTTAATTAAAAGTATAGTTAGTTTAAGCATCTTCTGGTAGATTTTTTTTTGGGGTTCTGGAGCTTTGGACTTTTAGTTGATTCTCACTAGGTTGGTATTTAGCTCAAAAGGAGGAGATATTGGTGTTGGAGGAAAAAGATGATAGAAAATTGGTTAAAGTGGTTTGAATATGTGCATAGAAGGCCATTAGAGCTTTGATCAAGAGATTAGATTACATATTAGTCTCGTGAATGAGGGGAGGAAAAGACCAAGAAGGAAGTTGTTAACTCTGAAAATTTGATCTTTATCCGAGTTGAATGATGTTTGGTGACCAGGTAGCCGACCTCACCTTGTGCGAAAAGGCCTTATGTTCTTGCTGTAGTAGTGGATGTATGTCATCTAGCATGGTCAGGGATGAAGACATGGTCACATTGTTCTTGAGTGTGGCGTTGAAGAATTACTGTTTTCTGTTATTTTGGTCTTTACGAGGGGGTTTGTTTCCTCTCGTACTAGTTGTTGAATAACAGGATCCTCTGGCTGATTGTGGTGGATATTTCTCTCTTTAACAACACCTTATCTTGTTATTCAATCCAAATCTCTTTGTTGGCATGTTTGCTTGATGCTGATAATAGGTCAATATGTAATTCATGAGCTCCTTATAATTACGAAGTCCCAGATATTGTTCATGTTGATCTTAAATTGTGGTTCATTCAAATGCAGGAGTGGAAGTCGTGTTCGGTTGGATGTAAATTTGGGTTTAGTGGGGATAAGAAGCCAGATGCCGCATTTGGGTTACCTCAACCAAGTGGAACAGCTAGCGTTCTGCGATCAATGGAATCAGCAGAATACTATGCTGAGAACAATATTGCCATGGCAAGACGGTGGGTAAGCACTGTTGTAAAGTGTTATTTCATTAGATGGCTACATTTCTTTGCATGTGATATCATTGCAATTCTAGCTACTGTCTTTACTTTTGTTCATTGAAAATTTTCTTTCGTTTTGTTCTTTGCTAAAGTGGACAGAGTAAGCCATTTTTTTCAGATGTTAATAACTAAACTAATATTACAATGTCTTTGTGTACTAGAAGGGGATATAACATTGTAATGACAACCAGTCTATCTTCGGATGTTCCTGTTGGATATTTTTCATGGGCTGAGTATGATATGATGGCCCCAGTGCAGCCGAAAACTGAAGCTGCTCTTGCAGCTGCTTTCATTTCCAATTGTGGTGCTCGAAATTTCCGGTTGCAAGCTCTTGAGGCCCTTGAAAAATCAAACATCAAGATTGATTCTTATGGTGGTTGTCACAGGAACCGTGATGGAAGAGGTACATTATAATTTTTTTTATAGATTCAACTTCAATATTTATTAGTGATCTTTTATCTGTGTAAATATTATTATAGATGCTTTCTAGTTGGAATTGTATTTGCAGAGCTGACCTTGTGTGGTGCTTTTTCTACCTTTTAGAAGATGACTTCTGAAATTGCACTTTGTTTTGTACATTGATGCTCGCTTCTTATTTTTCTCTGAAAAAGAACGAGAAAGCAATTTAATTGCAGAATTTAGACACTAAACGATGGAAAAATGTCTGCAATGTGCCTGCAAATGCTTCTGTGTTTCTAGGGAGAACTTTTTTTTCTTTTGGTCAAAAACTTTTCTAATTTTCGTTGAACCTGATAGCATTGTCTGAGCACTTGTATTTCTAATTTTCTTTTATATTTTTACAAGGGACAAACTTAGGTTCCGAACTTTAGGCACTTTTAGTGTTGTTATCCAATTAAAATTGCAGTTTGATCTTCATATCTCACATAATAAAGGTTAGATGCCTAGAATATCCATTCCATCACAGACGAATAGCCACCATAATGAGGGAACCTTATAGAAATGTCTTTGACCTGAGAAACCATTATGATTAGGGAAACTTTCGCCGTAGCATTTGAGCTTGAAGGGCTTCCAATATTGTTGGTGGAATTTTGCACTAATTTTTGTAATGATAGCTTGATCTCCTCCATCGTAGCTTCCTGGGCATTATTCCTAGCTTCCATTGTTTTTTGGGAGTTTTATCACTGTCGCAACCTGCGAATATCCTTTGCGTTGGTACGAATTTCAGCTTGCATTTCCTTCATTCTTGTATTTTCTGCCATGGAACTCAATGAAAGCACCAATGTAATAGTACTATAAGAAAGTTCAAGAAAAAGAAGAAAGCAGGAACAACAAGAAGTCAGCCACCTTAGTTTGGGCTGAAATGATGAGCTCGGCCAAGTTTTATGGTGCTTGACTAGGATGTAATTAAGCTCAGCCAGGCTTAGTTGAGCTTGGCAATGGTGTTGTGGAGCTCGTCAATGGCGTTAGGGAGCTCGACTAGAAGCAGTTGAGCTTGGCAAGTGTCATTCCTGACATCAAGTGGCAATAGGCATTTCAGAGGGAAGGTTTCTGAGAAGAAAGGGATACAGAGAGACAAAGGGATAATTATAACATTCTTCCCCTTTGTCATGTGATCTATTGTGCACCACTATCTTTTTTATTCCTTCTGACACGTGCCCCTCCTGCTCAACAAACTCCCTCTCCACTATAACGTCCTCATTTGCACATGTTACAGCCTCTAATTTCAAAATGCATCACTATTTGTCTAAAAGCATTATCTAATGTTTTAGAAAGCACTATCTAAACCGCTTTGAGGATATTATGCATTTTTAAATTAGAGGGTTGAAAATGAAAAAAAAAAGAAATTAAAAAAAAAAATTGAGGTAGATTTTGTGGATTTATTAAGGATTATATTTTATTTAGGAGTATTTTTGGCATGTAACTTTTTCGCTTGTCTTTCAAAAGGGTCTTGCTCTAAACATGAATTCAGTTCAGGGTTTTCAGTAATACTATCAGTTTGTTCTCCAACTTCTCTACCCTATTTCCAATTATCTCCTTTCTCACTTTTTGTTCCTTGTGACACTGAAGAGTAGTTTTTCTTAATGAATCTTCCCATAGAAAGGAGGGAGGAGTGTGAAACATGGAAGTGTTCTATCTTTATCTCGCACTTATTTATTAGTTTAAAATGCATTTTGAAGGAATTGGATTTTAGTTTGCTGCACATGATCAGGAAGGGGAAACATACAAAATTATGCTTGAAGCTAGATATGTTGTTGCACATATACAAATTATGTTCACAACTCAACATTGTGAATCTCAATTATATTTGTTATGTAAAATCCAAGAACGGTTTGATTGATATATGACTAATTGATTTTAAAGTTTAAGGAAATTACTCCTCTGCTTGAGTCAATGACTTCCGACGTTCCAAAGATTATGTGATGCTGTTGTTATTTGTTAATGATTATGGTTATTATCTTATTCTATTGCAGTGAACAAAGTGGAAGCCCTGAAGCACTACAAATTTAGCTTAGCGTTTGAAAATTCGAATGAGGAAGATTATGTAACTGAAAAATTCTTCCAATCCCTTGTTGCTGGTATGGATATGTATATATTGTATCTCTGTTCTCTTGCCTTTCTATATATACAAAACATTTATTAATAACACTAGTTCATGGGCTACACAAACATTTTAGTTTGGCTCTTACATCCCATCTGATTTTCTTTTTACATCTACAATTTTCTGTTGAAATAGAATTGAATGCTCAATTTTGAGTAAGTTCAGCAAAATTAAGGACGATAAAAAGTTCACAACTAAATTCAGGAAAATATTTCTTGAACATAAAATTTAGACAACAAATCATTGTTCCTTTGGTTTTATGCCGATTTTTAGAGATGTATTTATATGGAAAAGATAAAGTTAAAAAAACTTATACTGTCAATTTTTTATAATCAAATAATGAAATTCTTAAATTTATTGATCAACTAGTCCTTTTTACGGTTGTAGGCTGGTGTAGACATTCTTTAGTTGCAATCAATCATCTTAACTCTTACATAATGCTCTTTGAAATTTTCACACTTGAATATGATCCTCTATCAATGTCTTGAGTTCATTGCTTCAAACTAATTGCCAACGATACTGGTATTTCAATCTGCTTCAGGTATCCAATACATAGTTGGTACCAATATACTGATACTATGTATTTATGATTTCAAGCCTTTAAAAAATTACAAAAACTTAATAGAAATTCATACAAGACATAGATGCAATTATAATATTTATAATATAGGAACATTGAAGCTTTGTCCCTTGACGGATTTAAGAAGGGAAGATGTATTCTATTTCTGTTTTTGGACAATAGAGAGTGATTTATGATAACAAAGGTTTATAATTTTTATTCTTTTAGTAATTTCCTAGAAGTGTGTTTTTAAAATGGATTTGCAGAATTGCAATTATATATTTTATGAACTTTTATATATCTTTAGATATACATAATGTATTGATGTAGTGTATGAGATACACATTGTGTCTGTGTGCATCATAAACTGGCAATATACTCAGCATTTGTGAATGAACATTGAAATGATGAACCGAACTTAAAATAGTGTGCAAGGTACACTTGGTGATAGTGTACTGTTGGCATAAATTCAAGAAATATACTGAGTGAAGTGGAAATTTACAAAAATTTCCTGAAAGACAATTTTTTCTCTAACACGTGATAATATATTAATGTGCAACCAAGTCATATTCTTGTATTCTGGGATGCTTCAACATGAAAAATGCATTTCCATATAAACTTAACGGAATGGGGTCTGGTTTCTCAAATTTTGCACAATTGAGATATCAGAAGAATACACTTATANAATAATGTGGAATTTGAAACAGAGAAAAAGATAGAGATACAACATGATTTTGTTCCTTAACGAAATTCTTAAACCAGCATTTCACATTATCATCTTCATTCAACGATCATTACTTAAGAAAGACATCAGAAAAAAATAATGAACTTGAGAAGTAATAGAATGAAACTATTGGAAAACAAACATTAAAATCTACCTTGGCAAATTGAAACCTTTGGGCTACCACCTCCACTTTGTGTAATACAAATCACGTCTTCCATTCTCCGAACATTGAAAACCTTCGTCCAGAAAGCTGTAATCTTTTGAACGATACAAAGGGTAGTTCTCATCCCAAACCCATTCTCCATCAAACAAATCACACCCTCCACCCTCACCTCCAATAAACTCAACTCTGTGTTTCCCAATTTTTATCCACAACCAATAAAAACTGTGATTGTTCCAAAATGGATGTGGAAATCCTTAAAGCCAAAATGGATGTGAAAGAAATGTGTGTGTTGTGAAAGAAAGGAAATAAAGAACCCTTAAGACCAAAACGGATGTGGAAATTCGTTCGGCTTTCAACGTACATGAATATCCGTTGACGAATTTCATTTATTTTTTTAACGTTTTAATTACGGTAATTTAATTTTTACTCAAGGACAATTGTGGAATGAGACAGTATAAGAAGAAATTTGTGGTGGCGTAGGGATCAACGCTCCTAAAAAAATTCAAACCCGATCCGGCCCAGCACGGATTGGTGAGTTAAACGGGTTGATTCACTTAATTACAAGTTTTTTTTTAAATCCAAAAAAATTACAATTTTTGTAATTCAAACTTAAATAATTTCACTCTAAAATGATGATAAACTCCAAAGACAATTCAAAATAAAATAAAAATTAACATACTAATCTAAAAGCAAACTCAAAAAGCAAATAAATAAGTTTATAATATTGATAATTTTTGTGTCATTTATCCATTTATAAGATTAGAGTCTTTAACGAATAAATTTATAATATTTTTCTCTCTTTGAAACATCTTTTGCTTTATTTTCATTTATAATACAATAAAAAAAATGTTAACTAATAATATTAAAACACAAAATAATAAATAATCAAATTAAACTATGTGGAATAGTGAGCCAACCCCCGACTTACATTGGGTTCAACCCGGGTGAGCTGGGTTGAAAATTGGCTCGTATAAAAAAAATTCATTTTTTTAAAACTCAACTCGGCTCAAACTTATGGTGGACAGGGTTGGTCCACGAGTTTTAACCTATTTTGACAGTACTAATAAATCTATTAGTTATGTATGAAAAATAGTTCCATCATTAGTCTAATTGCTATGAAAAACAAAATTAAGTTATCTTAAGAATAATCCCCTATATTAGATGGGTCAAAATAGTTATGAATAAAAAAAATAGTTTAGACAATTGGAGATTAATTCAACATTAATTATCATTTTAATCTCATTAGTTATTTTAATTTTGTCTCAATATTAATACGTAGTCCTAAATTAATTTAAAATAATACAACTTTGTGCCAGGACTAAATGGAATTAGCACTATAGTCAATGTTATTATAATAAAATTACTGTCTCTAATTTCTATCATAATTTAAAATGAATTTGGACTTAGGAGAACACCTTAGATTGATTTAAAAAAGAAAGAACTAAATTAAATCACTTTCGAAAGATAAGAGGAAATAAATAAACAAATAATAGGAAAAAAAAGGCCATTAAGCCCAAAATTATTGATGATAAAAACCGGGTAACGCACAAGTGGAAGCCCAAAAATAAATTATAGACGGAGTACCGTTAACAAAAGCCGTTTGTTCATAGTCAAAAATTTAGTAGCAGTATTTTAGGAGGCCTTTGTTGTCGTGTTTTTTCAGGTTCTTTTGTTTTTCCGTTGATCGTTGGTTCCACTCAGTTTCACCATAACCCGTGGACTTTGAAAATTGAAAATTCTATAGCCACTTCCGCGACTGACTCAAACGCTGCATTTTCTTTTTTCTTTCAGGGAACCATCCACCCATAACAACAAAATAACAACAGCAAGCTGTGTTTTTTTTTATCATTCTTTTTCTTTAAACAAGCACCCCCATCATGGAATCGTGCTCATAACGCCAAAATTTTTCGTTTCCCTTTCATTTTTAGTTTCTTTTGCGGAATTGGCAGTTGGGGGCGCAATTGAATGATGGGTCTGTTGACGAATCTTCGAGGCTCGAGAACAGATGGTGCCCAACAAGATAGCTTACCCGTTTTGGCTCCGGGTGGCAACCCAAAGAAGAAATGGAGCAATCTAATGCCTCTTGTTGTTGCCCTTGTGGTCATCGCGGAGATCGCGTTTCTGGGTAGGTTGGATATGGCCAAAAACGCCGCCATGGTTGACTCCCTCGCTGACTTCTTCTACCGCTCTCGAGCGGTTGTTGAAGGTGATGATTTGGGGTTGGGTTCGGTGGCTTCTGATCGGAATTCTGAATCGGATAGTTGTGAGGAATGGTTGGAGAGGGAGGATGCTGTCACGTATTCGAGGGACTTTTCTAAAGAGCCTGTTTTTGTTTCTGGAGCTGACCAGGTTTGGTTAATTCTGTTTCTATTCTTCTCTTTTTTATTGTATGGCCCCCTCTCCCCTTTTTTTAATTAAAAGTATAGTTAGTTTAAGCATCTTCTGGTAGATTTTTTTTTGGGGTTCTGGAGCTTTGGACTTTTAGTTGATTCTCACTAGGTTGGTATTTAGCTCAAAAGGAGGAGATATTGGTGTTGGAGGAAAAAGATGATAGAAAATTGGTTAAAGTGGTTTGAATATGTGCATAGAAGGCCATTAGAGCTTTGATCAAGAGATTAGATTACATATTAGTCTCGTGAATGAGGGGAGGAAAAGACCAAGAAGGAAGTTGTTAACTCTGAAAATTTGATCTTTATCCGAGTTGAATGATGTTTGGTGACCAGGTAGCCGACCTCACCTTGTGCGAAAAGGCCTTATGTTCTTGCTGTAGTAGTGGATGTATGTCATCTAGCATGGTCAGGGATGAAGACATGGTCACATTGTTCTTGAGTGTGGCGTTGAAGAATTACTGTTTTCTGTTATTTTGGTCTTTACGAGGGGGTTTGTTTCCTCTCGTACTAGTTGTTGAATAACAGGATCCTCTGGCTGATTGTGGTGGATATTTCTCTCTTTAACAACACCTTATCTTGTTATTCAATCCAAATCTCTTTGTTGGCATGTTTGCTTGATGCTGATAATAGGTCAATATGTAATTCATGAGCTCCTTATAATTACGAAGTCCCAGATATTGTTCATGTTGATCTTAAATTGTGGTTCATTCAAATGCAGGAGTGGAAGTCGTGTTCGGTTGGATGTAAATTTGGGTTTAGTGGGGATAAGAAGCCAGATGCCGCATTTGGGTTACCTCAACCAAGTGGAACAGCTAGCGTTCTGCGATCAATGGAATCAGCAGAATACTATGCTGAGAACAATATTGCCATGGCAAGACGGTGGGTAAGCACTGTTGTAAAGTGTTATTTCATTAGATGGCTACATTTCTTTGCATGTGATATCATTGCAATTCTAGCTACTGTCTTTACTTTTGTTCATTGAAAATTTTCTTTCGTTTTGTTCTTTGCTAAAGTGGACAGAGTAAGCCATTTTTTTCAGATGTTAATAACTAAACTAATATTACAATGTCTTTGTGTACTAGAAGGGGATATAACATTGTAATGACAACCAGTCTATCTTCGGATGTTCCTGTTGGATATTTTTCATGGGCTGAGTATGATATGATGGCCCCAGTGCAGCCGAAAACTGAAGCTGCTCTTGCAGCTGCTTTCATTTCCAATTGTGGTGCTCGAAATTTCCGGTTGCAAGCTCTTGAGGCCCTTGAAAAATCAAACATCAAGATTGATTCTTATGGTGGTTGTCACAGGAACCGTGATGGAAGAGGTACATTATAATTTTTTTTATAGATTCAACTTCAATATTTATTAGTGATCTTTTATCTGTGTAAATATTATTATAGATGCTTTCTAGTTGGAATTGTATTTGCAGAGCTGACCTTGTGTGGTGCTTTTTCTACCTTTTAGAAGATGACTTCTGAAATTGCACTTTGTTTTGTACATTGATGCTCGCTTCTTATTTTTCTCTGAAAAAGAACGAGAAAGCAATTTAATTGCAGAATTTAGACACTAAACGATGGAAAAATGTCTGCAATGTGCCTGCAAATGCTTCTGTGTTTCTAGGGAGAACTTTTTTTTCTTTTGGTCAAAAACTTTTCTAATTTTCGTTGAACCTGATAGCATTGTCTGAGCACTTGTATTTCTAATTTTCTTTTATATTTTTACAAGGGACAAACTTAGGTTCCGAACTTTAGGCACTTTTAGTGTTGTTATCCAATTAAAATTGCAGTTTGATCTTCATATCTCACATAATAAAGGTTAGATGCCTAGAATATCCATTCCATCACAGACGAATAGCCACCATAATGAGGGAACCTTATAGAAATGTCTTTGACCTGAGAAACCATTATGATTAGGGAAACTTTCGCCGTAGCATTTGAGCTTGAAGGGCTTCCAATATTGTTGGTGGAATTTTGCACTAATTTTTGTAATGATAGCTTGATCTCCTCCATCGTAGCTTCCTGGGCATTATTCCTAGCTTCCATTGTTTTTTGGGAGTTTTATCACTGTCGCAACCTGCGAATATCCTTTGCGTTGGTACGAATTTCAGCTTGCATTTCCTTCATTCTTGTATTTTCTGCCATGGAACTCAATGAAAGCACCAATGTAATAGTACTATAAGAAAGTTCAAGAAAAAGAAGAAAGCAGGAACAACAAGAAGTCAGCCACCTTAGTTTGGGCTGAAATGATGAGCTCGGCCAAGTTTTATGGTGCTTGACTAGGATGTAATTAAGCTCAGCCAGGCTTAGTTGAGCTTGGCAATGGTGTTGTGGAGCTCGTCAATGGCGTTAGGGAGCTCGACTAGAAGCAGTTGAGCTTGGCA